ATTCCAGTTGTCGTAAATTGACCATTATTAGACAGAAACAGAGTAATTCTGACAATTTTTGCCTTAAATTTTCGAGCCGAATGTTTTGAAGAAAACCCCATTAATTAGCATGGTGCTTTTCTGATGGATTTAAAGTCGTTATTTGCAACACATGCCTCTGTAAAACGTGCGTGTTCATCCCCCACTTAAGGTACCTTCCCTGTCTACTTATATCGAGGAGCTGCTCTCTGTTCCTTTCAGACACAATCTTCGGGCGTCAGTAGCCACGTGTGCCGGAGTTTATTGGCGGAGACGTCCAGGTCGCCTCATTGTAGTAGGTTTGTGAAACAGATGTTTGAAAGGCTTAACAGCCACTGCTCGTGAACACATCTAAAGGTGGGTCCAGACATATAACAAGGTTTCGTAACGCAACGCCGACGCGCGTCATATTTAGAAGGGTCGCCGTAACCGCAGCATAACGCCAGGCCGCGACATTGGGGCATTCCGTTCGTTGTCGGTTTTCCAAGCTCGTATCAAAGGAACGTAACGTGTTGGCGTTGCGCTTCCTCTCGGCAAGGCTGGATGCAACGTCCGTGGCCAGTGCTTTCCCAGCAGCAATTTATGTACAGATGAACATTGTGTAGTAATGTGAACATCTGTTGCGCGTCCGTGGCCTGTTGCACATACAATGTACGTGCGTCAATGTATGAAATTACAATCAGATGGCTTGTACTAATATTATCACAAACCCTCGCGAATTTAAAAGCAACTTATTTCTTTATTATTAAAACATTTATCGTATGATTTTATAAGTATAGTACATCACTCCCATATTCGTCATGTTTCATTTCGGGTAATTATATTGATGACACTAGTGATACTAAAGATCTGATGCGATTTTCTTGATTTTTTTCTTGTATCTCTGATGAGAAATCTTTTCTTGTAGGTGTTTATGTAGAAATATCTTTAATACCTATAATATTTGTAATCCAAGATCATTGGCCTTAAAACCCTTTTTTGTCGTATGGGCCTAAGTTGTACGACCTATTTATTGTCAATTTATCTTCTATTCAATTACTATGTCTAAATGTTTTTGATAGAATGGAAGAGGATTTCTTTTAATGACGTATCGCCAAGAATCACTAATTTTCAGGAAAAGAATGCATGCAAATGCAGCCTTCTAGTTCAAGATAGTTGTCAACGGCTTTCGGATATCGTTTAACATAGGATAAATTACATTTCCAAACGTAACATATGGAAGCAAGGTGGAGGAGCGTATGAATATATTGAAACATAAAACTAGAAAGCATACCGAAATGGAGATACGTCACATTCAAAATAAGCTCTTCAATTATTACAATTTCTTGGGTGATTTTGGAGTTTATTAGATACAGGGGAAACTGTCGTACCTAGGGATCCTTTTCATGTTTTAATTTTTTCTCTTTTGTTTTGGATGTGAAATTGATGTTCATATTTCTGGGCGTATTTATGTGCAATAATACTATTTTTTAAGAACATTCTATAAGGATGTACTTATGTACCTGGGGACAATATAGGGGAAGTGAAAGAAAGGAACTACAACTGAATAATGTATTTTATCTATTCTTGGAGAGAATATCACAATAACATTTGTTGAACAAAAAGGACTAACCTAGATTACAATACATAAATATAATGCAAAAGAAAAAATTGATGCTGCTCTTAAGAATAACCTGTCAGATTAGTTCTGGAGCAAATGTTCTGTCCTCTATGTCAACTTCATAGGATATAAAAATAGCATTTATTTAATAGAAAGACTTTCAATGTCCATTATATCTAGTTAAGTAAATATAGAAAACAAATGTTTGCTGCTTTATATAACAACCAAACACAGATGTGTAATGGAGATTAACTTATGTCTTCCATGTCAATTTTATATACTGCAGCACCAATTTTGAAAAAATGAATCATTTTTACATATTACCATCAACTTTACAGATTCGTTCTTTTCTATAACTGAACTATTGCTGAACAACAAAATGGCAATACAATCTTTGATGACATTCAAAACTGCCCTATTAATGGTTTCTACAAGTGGTTGAGGCCTTTTGTTGCTTCCTTTGCTTCGTGTCAGATTACATCTTGAAACCAATATAACTTAATTCAATTTAATACTACATTTATGTACCCAGAGATGTCCCTAGATACATCAACAGCCACTGTCCTTAGGTACGACAATCTGCAATTATGAATGAACATGGCTTTTGTTAATTGTAGGTTACCTGAAGGAAAGTATTATATTCCGTGAATTAACTACATTTTATGGTAGTAAGTATATGTCTAGTTCAATTTTTTAAATTATTATTAGTTATAACAAAATAAACAAAAGAAAAATGCAGACATTTTTACTTTTCACTGGTCAAATCTATTAAACACTCATAAAATCACGGAAAAAGCCCACACTACAAAATCCTTTAGTTGAACAAAAATTGCAATAGCAATGTAGGGAAATAATCCAAAATTTAATTCGCAGACTTCTCGAAAACTTGCTTTGTCCCTAGGTACATTTGTCTCTAGGTAGGACAGTATCCCCTACCTAATAATTAATTGGCGGGAATGAAAATTGCGTATGTTTGTGAAATTAGAATTTTACAACTCGTTTACCGAAGCCCAACGCTTTTTTGGATCCGTACGATGGAGCATTAAAAATTTTTCTGTGCGTTTGTGGCGGAGGTGCACTATAGGTTTAGGGTCTGTTACACTTAACGTTCTATTTTTTTAAAAATGTATGCTAAATTTAAAATTTATTTTTATTTGTTATTTTATAGTTATTTATAAAGTATTAAAGTGATATACTGGATAACTTTCATTACAATATAAAATAAGTTAAAACTATAGTTGTGAATATACTTCTTCGGCTCCCGAAGGAGAGATTTGAAGCGTAATGATCTTTCCCCCCCGCTCCCTTCAGATACTCTCGCAAAGGAGGAGAGGTTTGTTGTCTTGCCCTCTTTCGGTTAAATTTTCCTCTGCGACCTCCATCAAGTACAACAGCCATCCCGCATGCTGGCACGTCTTCATCAACGGCATTTGACGTTCGATGAACGCAGAACATCCTGCGGAGAGCGCCTAGCGTAATCTATTCATTAAAAGGGTCGAGACCTACTTACCAGACACCAAACTGGCGATGATGAGTGGCAAGATCATGAGCTTCAAGAGACGCATCACCAGCTCACCGGGGTACGACACCAGCAGAATTGCGTCTGGTCCGAGGTCTAGCGGGCGAAGCGCAAAGCCTGCAAGGAAAAGAGGTTTGTTCAATTTTATTACCAGAAAGAATTTATAACACATTTATAACACTAAACGATGTCATGACACGAAAATATGAAGTGTGTACAAGAATAAATAGCAAGACCTCAAAATATACTTATGAAATGCGAAAAAGTGAACTATTTAAGCAATAGAGAAAGATATTATCTTCCACAAGGTAGGGAATAATGTATTTTTCAAATCATAAATGGCATGCTTCAGAAATTAATTTCCCTTCTGTATTGGTTTTTATTCAGCTTAAAAATAGTCCGAAATCAATTAACATGTGACAGAATTTACAAGTTACAATGAATAATACTGTATAAAACACAATGCAGTAGAATAAATTATTAGAAATAAAAAAATCAGCAATAATTCTTTTGATGAATCATTATTTGATTGATTCAGTTTAATTGTATTGTAAGCTACAAAGTCTATCACATCACATTTGTTTCTTCAAGCTGTACAAAACACACTAAAGATGGGGAAAATAATCCCTGAAACTGGTCTGAGCAATATTTTAAGAATATATTTCCGTTAATGTGCTACATAGTATAATATCCCACATCATAGAATTGTTGAAGGTTTCCACCAAAGCAGTCGAAATGATAGAATGATTTCTGGAATATGGAATAACCGGAAGCACTAAGTAATAAGCGTATAAAACATTCATTGCCGCATTCTTTTCTTTTCATTTGATCAATTTCATTGTAATTCTAGTATTATGGACTTCATATTCAGCTTAATACATAATTTGTTTAGCAAGGTTTCAGTTTCGTGCTCATATAGATGCAATTTAGTACATTAAATGTATAATTATTGTCAAGTCTGGAATTTTTATTAGCTCATTTAAATTATAAAATATAACTGAATTTCGATGATGATAATAATAATAATAATAATAATAAAAACAATAATAAAAATAATAATAGCAATAATAACATAATCATGTTAAAACTAAGCAACCTTTTTACGAGAAGATCAAAGAGTATTCGTTTTTACGGATTTAATTTCAGTCTGCACTTCTCACTCAGAACAGTTAAATGTTTCATTGTTTCTTTTTGCCTCCAGAACTATGAAAATAATGGCAATATCTACTCATTGTTTCAGTTTCTTAACAAGTTTCCTAGTGAGTCAGAAAATTTGCTAACGCTTTCGTTTTGATTCTAAATTAGTTAAAAACCCGTTGATGTGTTGTAGTGAAAGATTTACTGCATCAACAAAATGGATGGTAGTGGTAAAAAGATATAATTGAGCTACAATATCCTCAGCCCACTACATATTTCCTTTACTGAGACCTTGACCGCTAGCCATTTGAGCTGCGTCTGCCATGTTACGAGGCCAGTGGATCATTTATTGCTTCCCAATCAGCTGTCAGCTGTCACGTAAGTCCGTAGTAGCTTCTGAATAAAAACTTAGTTACGAGTATATGTTGGGTAACACTGAATCAAGACTATTTCTAAAGAAGTGCATCGCCGATCGTTCTTTCCAATTGAATTATTTTGTCTCCGGTCGCGTCCACTGTTGTGGACATTAGTCACGTGCATGTTGTACCACTGGATGTGGCTGAGTCCTTCCCCGCTAGTACGAGGGGACAGCGTCGACCTGCATGTGGGCTAGCCGGGGTTTTCCTTTCGTCAGGTATCTCCGTCAGCGGGCTCTGCCCCAGCTGAGACAAGCTGCAAGCCTTTGTATTGGGATACCCTCCATTGGGACACAAGCTTTTCTCCCAATATGTGTGGTAGTGTAGTGCATGTCAGTGTGTGTGGGCAGAGAGGGGAGGAAACAAGAATAAGAACGGAAAGATCATGTGCACGGTCCATCGCCCTTTCATCGGAGAATTGCTCCACCATTCGCCTAGTGTAAATCACAGAAGCCGCTTGAATAATTACTTAGACAGCGACGAATTCGACCTGGCTCTCTAGAGTCGAAAATTCACGAGTCAGAACTAACACTAGGACCTCCCAGACACAGCCGTCGTAATGGCAGTAGATGTTACGCTGAGCCAACTCAACTCCCTGATTCAATGTTGCATCGTTTTTGGACTGCTTTAGAACAAATCCCACGCGTTTCTTCTTTACCACCGAATCGAACTGTTACACAATACAAAAACATCACCATATGCCATAGGCCATAGGCCATATGAAAATCGAGGAAGGTGCGAATGGAATTCATAAGAAAATTTCATAGTCTAAATGCTAAGTTTGTGTGAAAGTAAAGTTGAGCACGTAAATAAATATATTACTATTACTTCAAAAATAAACTTCTGAAAAACTATTCAGAATCTATTGTTAGAAATTCTTTACGTGCAACATTTGTTTATGATTTCTTACTAATATGAAAGTACAGAATTTTTATTTATTCAAGCTAAGGGAAAAACTGTTGTCACTTTCCAACCTCATATTTTTTGAAGTCCTGATATCTTGCAATGATAATTTATTCAGAGAATGTATTTCCGATTCAATATAGTTACTTGATCAGCGTCATTTTCCATTCCTATTCACCTTTCGTAATAAATAATAAACTCACATACGTTTCGAATCACGAATCATTTCCACATGCGAAAGCGTTTAGATAAGACAGAATTCCATTAAGATCTTGTTATTTTTAACACTATTATTTATGAACCGATTGTAATCGATATTGTAATTGAATTGCAGAATAGTCGTAAGAAATTGCCAAATGTGGATATGGAACAATGATTAAGAACAGATTTGTTGTAATATGTTAGGAACTATATCCAAAACATTGCTCTGCATGGAAAGAACTCTTTTACGAGTACGTTATATTTCATTTCCTATCAGGTCGCCATTCCGCAGTATTCTACCACAATATTCCGTGAACCGGTGTGCCGATGGGCTGAGCAATAGAATGGTCACTATTTTTTTCCTAGCAATTTTCTAAGGTAATGTTTTAGCGTCTCGGTATATTTTGATATCACAGATTAATTTAAGGAAAGAATATGCATCAACTGTGATTTAAACTAAAAATGTGATTCAGAAATCCAACGTGAAATCCAAAAAGCCTAATAGAATGACATGATCAAAAACAATACTTTTCTTTGGTATGAATTCTTGAAGGGTGGATGATTGTCATCCGATGACGATTGTTTCGGACGATCGTCAAGATGCAAATCCAGAACTAGGGCGCAAGTTTGTGAGAATATCCTTACAGATTGTGAGCAAGCAATCCACGATGTTTATGAGGCAGTCGTTCAGACATACAAGATAATTCACTGAATGTTAATATGAATATGTTTTTGGGGTCGCTAAAAGCGAATCTGAAGTCCATTTAACGTTATGACATCAGATTTTTTTAAATTTAGATCAATTCTAATTAATAAAAAAGGTGGCACTTGTCTCTGATGGGACAATACTCATCACTAAGGCCCGAAAGTTTATGAAAAGTCATATTTTTAATTATGAGCTTTATAATATGCTAATTAACAAATGCCAATCCGGGTAGCCAAGACCGCTAAGGCAGTAGTGTGGTGGCGATCGAGGGTTCGAATCCCGCTTCAGGCATGGATGTACCTGTGATCGAACTTTCACCAATCACCACCCTATCGCTTCATTATAGAAGTATTAATAATTCCCTGCTCAAACAGGAGGCCCTTGACCTTAATGGGATGTGCAGTTGGCTAATAAAAAAATATCATATGCCCACAAAACAATCAAACTAACAGAAATCCGACGATTTTATACCTTTCGTGCAAATTAGTGAATATTTAGGGTATTCTGAGATGATGCATCATATTTCCATTACATTTACGTTTTCATAATATTTTATTACTTATTTTTTCTTAATGTGGCATATTTCCATTGGAATTTTAATTAACATTCATATTTGTCTCCTCAAACCGAGAAGTGAACTTCACAGATGTGAATCATGAGAAGGCGTGGGAGTGTGTCGTTCGGTGCAGCAGTATTTGAACTTTTTTTGATATCATTGTGCTGGTACTCGGAAACGATTGATCGGATTATGAATGATGTGACCATTTATCAGATTATGAATGATGTGATAATTTATCTTTGATGAAGAATTTGTGTCTTTGGAATTGATACTATACAGACGAAATCATATTTTACTTTAAAAATTATCGATGGATTAGACAGGAAGAGACAAAAAACAATATTGTTAAAATGAAAAGTTTTGTAATTGTTCATGAATAAATAAAATTTAATTGTTAAGACATATTTCATTAGTTGTGAAGTATATTTTACAAATGTTAGCATATTTTCATGAATATTTCTCCTTTTGATACAGCATTATCTTCCGACCCTTACTCATCACGTTGCTGTATGGCAGATTGCCTATATCACTGGCGCCAGATCACCGCCTTCTCTCCAAGCAGATAGATATAGATTAACTACTGCTTTAGCGATCTTTGCCATCCGGACCGGTAATACTCAGTTATTGTTTTCCTGATTGCAGAAAATAAATTAATCTTCATTTTCATTAGAGAATAGAGTTTAGGCAATCCAGCAAAAGTTAAATAGCGTAATTTAAAGACTAGCTGACATCTCATTCGACGCGAAAAAGAAATGGAAGAAAATTGAAAATAACTTAAAATATCACAAATGGACTATATTGTCATATGCGAGTTAGGAAGGGGGTATTCTTCGCCCAAAGGCCATATGCGGCAAGCTACGTTAATTTTTATAACACGTACGAAGAGTAATCGGTCAAGATTCATTCACCATAATGTTCAACATACAAATCCAAACATTTCGCTTAATCTGCACACACGATAATAGCCCATTTCTAATAGAAAAGTTGAACAACTGGTGTTAATTGATATGTTAGAAGAAATTATATTCACTTTCCTGTATTATCAATCATAAATCAAAAATATTTTTTGAACTACTAAATTTATATTTTCCAGAAAATAACTTTCTCAGTGGCAGCAAACATTTAATTCATTTAAAATTATGAGCCAATTGCCGAGGGGTAATTAATTAATTTCACATTTTTTAATTTAAAAATT